AGGTTGACGCCTTTGTTCGGAGAGAAGGTAATTCCGGAGACTGATTAATCCTTGAAATATAATTGCTTACTCGTGTGCTTTAGGTCGATACCATTGACTGGTGTCGTGGTCGTCTCGCCGAATTGAACCCTAAAATTGAGGAATTACAGGCAGTACAAAAGAATGGTGATGGCAAGAAGATGAACTCTGCCTTCATTGAGTTTACTTCTCAATCGGCTGCTCAGATCGCTCTCCAGACCCTTGCACACAACAAGCCCCTCCACATGGCGCCCCGCTACATCGGAGTCACCCCTGAAGAAGTTATCTGGACTAACCTCCGTCTCCAATGGTGGGAGCGCTTGGTAAAGGGCGCTGCTGTTACCGCTGCGGTCTCTGCTCTCGTTCTCTTCTGGTCCATCCCTGTTGCCTTTGTGGGTCTTATTTCCAACGTTACCTATTTGGCCGATACAGTCCCATTCCTGGCCTGGCTCACCGACCTTCCTAAGCCAGTCCTGGGTCTCATCACTGGTCTTCTCCCCGTTGTGCTCTTGGCCGTATTGATGGCTCTCTTGCCCATCGTTCTTAGAATCCTTGCAAAAATCTCTGGGGAGCCCTCAGTCTCGTTCATCGAGCTTAAAGTGCAGAACATGTACTTTGCTTTCCAGGTCATCCAGGTCTTCCTTGTCACCACGTTGACATCCGGAGCCTCTTCCGCTGCTAGTTCTATTTACAAAAACCCGATGTCGGCCACAGACCTTCTTGCCTCTAATCTTCCCAAGGCTTCCAACTTTTATATCTCATTCATGATTCTCCAGGGTCTTGCCATATCTTCGGGTGCTCTGCTCCAGATTGCTGGTTTGGTCTTGTACAAAGTTCTTGGTATGCTCCTCGACGGCACCCCGCGCAAGCAATGGAACCGTTGGTCTTCTCTGTCGGGTCTTGGATGGGGCACTGTTTTCCCTATTTACACCAATATCGCTGTCATTGCCATCACATATTCCATGATTGCGCCCCTCGTCCTTGGGTTCGCCGTGGTTGGTCTTGGTCTTCTACACTACGCATACAGGTACAACTTGCTCTTTGTGTACAATGTCAACATTGACACCAAGGGTCTCGTGTATCCACGTGCGCTGTACCAGACCCTCACCGGTGTCTATCTAGCGCAGATTTGCTTGATTGGTCTCTTTGGTGTTAGCGAATCCCCCGGTCCTGCAGTCCTCCAGGTAGCCTTCCTCATTTTCACAATTCTCTTCCAGCTGTCTCTTTCATCAGCCATGGAGCCTCTCCTCCGCTTCCTCCCTAAGAACCTCGAACGTGAGGAAGAGTCTCTCCTTTCAATTGAGAACGGCGATCATATCGGAGTCGAAGAGGATGTGACTCCGGTTGCATCTGAGGCGGATGGCGATAAGATTATTCACCGTCCTCTTGGGGGTGTTGCGCCAGCTGAAAGCGGTGGCATGATTACCAGATTCCTTCACCCCGAGACATACGAGAACTACGCTGTAATGCGCAAGCTCATCCCTCGAGGCTTCCCCGAGGCTTCGTACACCGCCAATGCGGAGCAGGAGGCATACATGAACCCTGCTATTGTGGCAAGGCCACAAGCCATTTGGATCCCCAGAGACGAGGGTGGTGTTTCACGGCAGGAGGCGGCACACACAGGAAGTGTTGTCGATATCTCTGACGAAGGTGCGGTTGTTAATGAGAAGAGCAAGGTCGTATGGATCGAGGGTGAGATGCCGCCAGGCTGGCACCCAGGACCGGTCTATTAATCGGGCTGGTTCTGTTTTTTCCTATTTTTTCACCTTTTTTCGTTGTACCAAGCGTCTGCTTTTTTTTTTTTACCTTCCTAATTTGGGCCTGTTGTTTCTTCCTTAATACCCAGCTACGTATACTCTATCGTTTATCTTTTCCTTATCAATGTATCTGGCATGTTGGCAATGCTGTCTTGCCAGCCAACAACCCATTATCAAAAAACAAAACAATAAGCTATGCAGGCTGCGTATCTGTAACACTGAAAACATAGCAGCGCGTAAAGAGGAAAGGGACTGGGGGGGGCGATGAGGAAGTATCACTATCAGCAAACAGCGGAGGTGGCTTCCTGTAGGAGTTATTATTTTCATGCTTAGTATATAATCATAGCTTGCCAATAGCTTGATACCATCACTTGTTTTATGTATTATCTGTGGCTAGTCAGATGGTTGATGGTGTGGTGGCGGTGTTGGGGGCGGGGTGTGAATAGTAATGATTGATGAAGAGCTTTCTGGTGTCGAGTGAGATTTGGTGTTGCGTTGGTCCGCCCGGGGGTTTCAATGGTAGTGGTTCTCTCGTTCGAAGTGAAAGCTGGCCTTGGCTGTAATGGGGGGGGGGGGGGGGGGGGGGGGCTGTTGAGAGACTGTACTCGACGGGCTGGATATCGTTCGGTGATGGTGGGCGTGTTGAGTATACTCACAATGCCTAGCTGCGTGCTAGACAAAACGTTAAAGCTCGCCTTAGTGGCAGGTGGGAGACGTGGCTATTGTTGTGGAAGAGGGGAATTCCTCTTGGATAGAGCTCTTGAATTTCATGATAGCGACAATTAAACGCCCAAGTCCTAGTGTCCAGCTAAAGATATTTTTACAATATCCTTATAATTACTGCATGCTTTCTCAATCACCACCACCTAGAAACCTACACCAAGATCCAAACCCCCGGCCCCATCTGCCTCCAGTGTCCCATAGCAATGCATTTTCTCTAACCACATACTAAATTTTCTCTATCTGATCACTAGATTTCTCTTCTTGTGACTGTGACTTGTAACATTTTCTAAAATGTAGACTTGCAATTGCCGCATGTACAAGCTGCATAGCCAGATAGATAGATGGATACATTATCGTACTATACTACCATGAGCTTGCAAACAAGCAGGGGATGCGATTGAGCCTGCTTGTTGGATAGTAGTATACGGTTGATTGATTGACATATACGTAGGGCGGGTGTTGGTTGAGTCGTCGGATGTCGGTGCGGTGGGAAAATACGGAACTTGATGAATGTCTGAGCTTGATATTGTGATTGTCCTGATATATACTCAATATTAATAAATATATAGCTGTATATATATATATATATAAACGCGGGTCTGAGAAAACTTGACTTCTGGGTCGGCGAAGGCCAGGACGCAACGCAACAACCAGCAGAAAGGAAATTTAACAAACATCAATTTCTGCACAACCACCAGATATGGGAAACAAGTGGGAATATGTAGATAGACTATATCAAGGGTCAAAATTCTCATGGTGCTGTCAGAATAAAAGATTTAGGAGTATTCGCTTAATCTTTATCTAGTATCTTAAAACAGTAGGTTTCAACCAACTTGATATGGAGCCTCCTACTGGCTAAAGGAACTTCTGAAAAATATAATATACACCCTTTAGAACATGCTCTATCAGCAGGGGAAGCTTTTGGGTGGATTGATTTGGTGGTTTGGGTTTGTTAGGTTTGAACCCATAAGTCAAGTTTTCTCAGACCCGCGTTCATATACAAGTACATGTACACTAGGGGTGTGCCAACTCGCGACCGCGAGTTGTACGTTGGATTATGGGTATCAAATAAAATTTAATTCTCCCGCTACAATCATGAGGGGCCTTCCGCCCCATCCTCCTCCTCTCGTGCTTACTAAATACCCTTGTCGCTGTCGACCAATCAGACTGCAAGGACTTCAGAAAAAACCATAATCCAGTACATAGTAGACGTAGTACCATGCATTATTACTACCGATAATATTCGTAGATAGATACACAGCTGCCCCTGATTATCGCATAAGGCCAAGATGTGACTGGAGCCAATAGTTTTTGATAGTTTTGTTGATCTCTTACTCGATTTTGCTGTGACCTTTTGTTCCACAAGAGGGTGTCAGCATCGACGGTTTATGGGATATCGATACCAGTAATATATGCAACATCTCACAGTGAGATGCAATTTGACAAGCCGCGATAACGGCCAGCCAACTTAGGGCATTCCACGGCATATAAAGAAATAATTTAGAAATGCTACACCACCGATCCAGCCCCCATGCGGTGGTAGTGGTAGTGGTTTATGATGTGCGTATTACACATCACGACCGCGTATATGTGTATCTGATATTAACAAATCCAGTCCCACCCGGTATGGAATATCCCACCGGCGCGCGTACGGGTACAATTGTGGTTTTTCGTCTCGCTGGTTTGCCTTACGTACCGCCTTTGATATAACAGGGCGTTTTACGCTATCCAGATCTCTCCCCTCCCTCCCCTCGTGAGAACCTTCCTCCTGTCTAGATCTGGTCTCGCTCACGCACGGGCTATCACTCGAGACTTGGCAACGGGGTGGCCGGGGGCTCAAGCACCTCACCTTATTGCAAAGCTTGACATTGGCATATGCATTGTCGCATGGGTTCGATTTGATTAATGAACCCCCCACCTGGCTGGATTTTTACCCCTGCAGTTGTTATATTGGGGGTGTGGGGCCCGGGGGAGAATATTAAGTAATGGGTCTGTAAGCGAGCAAAGGATTTCAGCTGAATAGGTAAATTAAAATGCTTGTACTCTTACTTTGGAGAGTGTAGGTATGTGCATGCATGCACGCACGTTACGCTCGCATGGTAAGGCACACAATTATATGTACCTACATGTATGTGCTGTACTCTACTGTAGAGTTTGATGAGGTCTGAAATTAAAGGGGAGCTCGGGATAGTGAGCGAGATGGAGGTACTCTACATACATCGGCTATTGCCATAGACCTCTAGCTTTTCCCGAGCGGGCCGTTCGGGGCATTCGAGAAGAGAAGACCGAGACCAGGGCCAAGGGGGGGTTGGTGCCTTGGCCGGAGAACGCCGCGTGATGGCAGGCGAGGGAGGTAAGCTTTTGCGGGGAAGGAAGGGAAGGTTGAGGTGGGGTGGGATGGGGTGGCGAGAGTGGGGTGCCTGCTGGAGCATCTTAGGATGAGGTGTTCGGGGTGGAGTTGCCCAGCGGAACGGTCAAGACTTCAGTGAGGAGGCGGAACGGATGGCTTCTCCGTCGGAAAGGCCTGGGGCTTCTGGCCAAGGATCGATGGATGGCGAGTGGGTTATGCTGAAGGATGACAGGCAGTGTAATGGTCGAGGATATTTGGGAGACGAGGTTATGCGTATGGGTAACCGTGATAGCTGTGCACATGTGTTTGCTAACAACGACACGCGCGGATTGCTTGAATGGCGGAATGGCGGCTTCTTAGACGACACAACGCCGGGACTGGGCATGGCGGTCGTATAATCGCTTGGTGTCCTGTTCGAGCCGCGACCGTGTTATCTAAACGGGCTATAAATTGACCAAGCCAACCACCCGATCTCATTCTCCAACACTCCCGCCCTTGGCGAGCGCGGTCTCTCTGCGGGTATTGCCCGCTATCTGGAGACTGTGACAACGGTTTCCACCCCCTCTCGAATCCGAGCGGGCATTCACTGAGGGCCGCGTTGGCTGGAGAGAGTGGGCCGTGGATATAGTTGGAGACCCGGGCTTCGTTTTGGGTCGGGAAGAGGTTGCACCCGGCCTAAGCACTTCGAATCTTGCCTTCGAGGACACCGCCAAGTTACCCACGAAGAACCTGGAGCAGAAATATCACCCAGATCTGAGTTATCTTGATGCTTTTATGGCCACTGTAGTCATGTCTTTATCAACTGATTCTAGAAACCCGGCATTTGTTCTAGCTTGGATTCTCCGAGTGATATAACGTGACCCATAGGTACATATTTACACATATCATATTACCGCACTATATACAGACAACTCCCTCTAAAGAAATCTTTTGTCAACCCACTTCTTGCTTCCTATCGTGTTCTCAACGCTCCAAGTCTTCTCCGCCTCCTCTCTACCAATCAACTTTGAGAAGTTCGCCCTCTGCGAGTTCCACGCTGACGCACCCTTATTGTTATACTCGGCATAGTACACCGCATCGGTCCTCGGGTCGGTGGAGCCCCAAATTGACCATCCCCGCAGGTCTACAACATTGCCAAAGTCAGAGTTCTTGAACACGACAGTGGAATGGTTGCGCCATGGGCGTCCGAGGAACATGCTGTTGTCCGTGGCATTCTCGACGGTGATGAGCTTGGCATTGTCAAACACGTAGGCACCAAAGTAAGATGAGTTCTCGCGGCCTTGGGCTGTGATGTAGCCAGCGCGCGAGGAGGCCAGGATAGCGTCTTGGAAGTATGCGAGACCGCGCATGCCGAAGATGTAGTCGACGGCGCCCTTGATGTAGACATTGCCAAAGAAGGCGGTGCCATTTTGGGTGTAAACAGTGTCCTAATTGATACCATTAGCTACTGCTTCGATTGTGGCTAAAATTTTGATTTCAGGGCATACCTGGAAGGAGTAGAAGCCAGACGAATAGTATCCATTTCTAGCACCCGCCTGGCACAGCGCCAACGCCTGAGACTGGGACCCTTCTGCTCCACCGGTGCCATACGAGTTCTCGATATCGATGTTGTACACTGTCGTATCATTTGAGTAGATCTGCAGAGTAGCGCTCTTTGCGTTCGAGCCGGCCACTGAGGCCACCAACGAGTTTGTGAGCAACACAGTGTTTTCTTTCTGCGACTTGATATTCTTGGTGTAGCCCTGGAAGACGGTTGGACCTGGACGCCAGAGTACTACTTGCCCCTTGTAGGTTCCAGGGTAAATGAAGATTGTCTGCGAGGAGGTGTCGTTCGGGAGGGCCCAGACGGCGTCTTGCACCTATGAGGGTGTTAGCGGGGTGGAGAAACATCGTCCTTGAGTATGCAGGCTTACGGATTTGAAAACATTGGGGGAACTGCTGTTGATGTCGACTACAACGGAGCCCTTGGGGGGCTTTGTGATGCCGGTTGCGACAGCCAATGTTACTGGGAGCAGGAGGAGGAGGTTGAGGATATGCATCGTGATCGTGATATAGAACAGCTACGAGCTAATGTTTCTGCGGTACGATTCGGATTCGAGAGGTTTAAAGATGCTCAATTGGATTGACTGGTCTGTTCCTGTTTTCTCTACTGTACAAACAGAGAAGTAGCAATTGATACCAACGGGGGATTTCCAGCATCATTTATATACTGCGATTTCTCCATAACCCCGAACATCAGCAAGGTCCGGAGAAAGAACCGCATCCATAATTCTTGGAAGGAAAAACTCACAGCTATCAAAACCAACATTTCCAAGCCTCTAGGGTTTATATTGCAATTGCATTGTATTCGTGTACAGCATATGCCCCCCAGCCCCGGAAAAATGACGTTTGGATGGATGGAGATGGCCGTTAACTTTGATCGATACCCCACCTTTTCGTCGCCTGCAGCTGCTGTAAGGACTCAGATTTCAATCTAGAGTACTTTGCCGGTCTATTGATACCGAGATGCCTGATTTATTTCAGCAAGAATCAGAAGCAGTACCTGAATACGCCACGAGTTTTCACACATGACCACATGTACAGTACTTGGCATAATATGGCGAGTACCTGTTTATTTTATGGCTTCTCTATGTGTGGGGTACTTTATAATCACTGCCATCCCGGATTACCTTTTCTTCCTGGCTGAAATAAATATATACACACGGACGGTGCTGTAGTTGAAAGGACGAATGTGGAATGGCTACTACCTAGGCCTACTACTACTAGCTACTACTAACTTACCCCAGATTTATTTCCTTCCCCCACTCCCCACACACCCCGCATATATATCCACATCCCTGTTTTTGTCGGCAATCTACAGCCCCTGGTCGGTTACCTCTAATTTTTGCTAAGCTCTGCACATACCCGGGATATTTTGTGGGGTCTCGGTGGTATTATACCGAATGTGGCGTTCGTCTGATGTTAGTGTTTATCCGAATCTGCTGTCCGAGCGAACATTGAGGAGAGCTTATTCAGACTAACTAGGCATCTTGTAATAGTCTGTGTATGATACATATGTTCAGTATGTTTATCATGAGGGTACTGAGCTGATTAGAATATAGGAGCTTTCTATCTACAAACATCGTCCACTCGGAGCTTTAGTACCTACATCTTGGATCTGTAATCATCTGGTGCGACAGAAGAGTAATATCAAATCCAGCCTGATGGGATTGCGATTACGCAGCTTCCCGGGTTTTTGCATTTCGGCTGCTCTTGAGTCTCTAAATCCTTCTTTTTACCCAGCTGCAGGGGAAATTTGGGTGCCAGCGGATCAATTTAAATGCGGAGAGATGGGGGGGTGGATACAAGTACCTATCTGCGAACATCTACATGCACAGTAATATACTAGCCTCGGCACCCAAAAGTCCGCTGGGAAATCTTTTCTACATTGATCTACTTTTCTCATTATATCGAGTATTTTCAATTTGGGGGGAGGGACGGGAGGGAGGCAGGAGGAGGAAACTATATAATGCTGCACAAACCCACGATATATATGCATCTCACGATCCGGCTCATCACTCCCTCTTTCGGTGCTCCGTACGTCTCTCTCTAAACAAATGGCCCGCTTCTACTTGATCCTCAGTCTTGCGGCCGCCGCAGGACTCGCCTCAGCCACTGACATCTGGGGCTACGGAGAGCACACCACCGGTGGAGCAGGCGCCCCAAAGAGCAGCATCTACACCGTCACAGACTTCAACGAGCTCCGTACAGCGCTCGACAATAACGGGGCCCCTCACGATCCAAAGATCATCTACATCAGTATGCCCCCTCCCTCAATTGCCCCCATATAACCAATCATTAGCTAACAAAGTCACCAAACAGACGGCCTCATCGACGGCGACTACCTCGCCGATGGCTCCCTAGCCACGGAAGAGCACTACGCCCGCAACGGGAACTACACATTTGAGCGCTACCTTGACTCGTTCAATGCGACGCTGCGCGCCATCCTGGGTAACTCGACGGACCCTGCGGACGCAGCGGAGCTTGCGCTCCTCGACGCACAGGAGACGTTCCGGCAGGCGGCGTCGAACGAGCAGGAGGCGCAGATTGTGCTCAAGATTGGGAATAATACGACAATTGAGAGCGCCAAGAAGGCGAAGGTGGCCAGGATCCAGAATTCGTATATTGCATTGAATCAGACGGATAATGTCATTTTGAGGTGTGTTGTTGCTCTTGTGGTGTTAATGATCCTTTTGTTTTGGGGTGAATGTGGGTTAGGGGTGTGTGAAGAAAAGGTGGGCTGATGATGCTTTCCGATATGCGCAGAAACTTCGAAGTCTACTCCCCCATCGATCTCTTCCCCGAATGGGACCCCACCGATGGCTCCACCGGCAACTGGAACTCCAAATACGACTGCGTCGGCGTCGTCACCAGCACCAACATCTGGATTGACCATCTCACGCTCTCCGATGGCGACCACCCCGACTCCGACGAACCCATTGTCTTCGGGCACCAGATCCAGCGCCACGACGGGCTCATCGACATCACCGAGGGCTCCGACGCCGTCACCCTCTCATTCAATAAGCTCCTCTCGCACGACAAAACCAACCTCATCGGCAACAACGACGCCGGCAACCTCGGCCCCGGCGACACCGGCCGCCTCCACGTCACAATGTACGGCAACCACTACTATAACTCGCTCCAGCGCAGCCCGCGTGTGCGCTTCGGCGAGGTCCACGTCTTCAACAACTACTTTGAGGGCCAGAGCTCGGGCGACGAGAAGATCGTCTACTTCTTCGGCATGGGCATCAACTCCACCATCCTCTCGGAGCGCAACGCGTTCTCCATTAATGGCACCGAGTCGTGACCACCAAGACGAACCTCGTGGTCGGTAACTACAAGGGCTACAGGTTCAAGGACGTAAAGTCCACCGTCAATGGCACAGAGGTCGATCTTGAGGCCGTCGCAAAGACGAAGTACGATGCGGCAAAGGCGTCGGAAGTTGCGGCGGCGGCGGCAGCCGGGAGGGCGGTCGCGGAGTGGGCGACGCATGAGTATACGGATGTGGTGTTTACACCGCCGTATGAGTACCGTCAGAAAAAGGCGGAGGATGTGGCCAAGTGGGTGTTGAAGAATGCGGGGTATGGGAACTTGTAGTTAGTTTTGTGAGTAGGTTGTGTAATGGACTTGTGGCTTGTGGGCTTGGGGGTGATGGGAGGGTTTTATGGTAATGATAATGGATATTATTGTGTATGTAGTGTAGTTAAAAAGGAAAATGTACAGAAAATAAAGGTTATGAAATGCTATGTGTAGCTTCTTCTCCGTTATGTCGAGCTGTTAGTCCCCGGTGTATTTACACCAAAAATCTACATCAAGAACCCACCCAATCCAACCAACCCAAACTTTCGAAATAATACCTCTTAAACAGAGTAGTCCCAAACCATGATCCGGATAACCCCAAAAACATAACTCCCGAAGAACAGCGCCAAAAGACAACAGTAAGAAACTTCATCACGAGTAATCACTCGACGCTGTTTCAGGTGTCAGGGTTAGGTGAAGGTTTCTTTTCTTTTTCCCAAGTCAAGGTGGAGCGAATATTATAAAAGCCCGTAACGCAGGATCAAGGCAAAACATCCGCAGCTGGGTTATCACGTTCACGATGGGCTGCTAGTGTAGCGGGAGGTAGGAATTGTTATGAGCAGCTTCCCGTACGTAGACGATGGACCACATATGGATTACCTCGCGGTACCCTTAAAACGGGAATTATTAGTACACACTAGCGGGAGATGTAATATCAGCTAGCTCCAATGAGAACACTAGCAGTGCTGCCAAGTGGCAAGAACAAAGCATTTTTCAATCATTGACCCTCGGGCTAGCTGATTGCACATGTGGTATATACATGTATGTATGTTATCTATAAAGCCCGAATATCTTAGCAACAAAAGTGACTTTGCGATCAATCAAAACACTACTTCCTGATCCATTTTCCAGGCGCAGAATATGCTATTCTGAACAAAAAGCTTTGGAATTTCCCGCCGGAAGTCCTCTGGTAACTAGAAAGTGAGATCTATGGAGGCCCCTCACTAATATAACGGCAAGAATATGCCAAAATAAACGCCGGTACAAAACAAGAAACAAAATCGGGACCAGCCCGCAAGATCATTTCATAAACATAACACCGCAAACCCCCAAATCACCGACGCCACCACCATCGCCTCTGTACCCACCCTCCCCACAGCAGCGGCGCCAGAGCTCCTCCCTATCCCCTCCGGCGGCCCCGGCGGCCCTAAACTCGCATTCAATCCCCACCGCGACCACAGTACCGTTATCCTCCTCTATAAGATTCGCAAACACCATAGCATCGATAAACGGGAACTCCTCAATCTCGATATCGCTACACATCTCCCGCAGGTCTTCAAGGTTCTCGGCGCTGGGGACATTGAGAAACTACGGACTGTGTGAGGCAGTTGTCGGCGCAGAAGCGCCGCACGGAGGCGTCGGAGGCGGTGTCGGCGGAGACGGCGTCCCAGGCGATTACATAGTCCTTCTCGGTAATCATGCAGAGTACATTGGTCTTTCTGCCGCGGTGTTAGACCGGGGGACACGGGGTTTTATGGGGTATACATATATGTGTACCTACAGATCTCGGACGCATTGTTTCCAGTATAATAATACGCCTGCCTCGCCGTCAACCGCTGCTTCTAGCCATGATGTATCCAGACCAGATCCCTGAGATCAACGCCTGCACAGGCGTCTTTAAAGGTTTTTCTGGAAATTCAGTAGTGAGGCTGCAACAGGTTGGGTTACATGAGTCCTCGAGTGTTTCGTGCTTGGTGTTCAAGGTTGGGGGACATTAGAATCGTGGTGTTTGCAGTTTATGGGCTCCGTATATGCGGAGATACAGGCCGCTGGGAGGCTCGTCTGTAGCAGATGCGGGAAGAATTGCCGTTGAAGAGCCAGGAGGGCTTGGTGATGTTGAATCCCGTATCGAGGAGGGCGTGGGTGAGGGAGAATATTAAGGATATGAAAACTACTGATAATGATCGTCGCATCTCGTATATTTTTACTAGAAGAAAAGGATACGTAAGAAAGAATGTAAATGTATATTGTCAAAGCCTAACCTCGCTATATTAGTTTCCCAGGCCGGTTTATCATGATGATCGTATTCTTGTCGTCAAATGCCCACGCTGTAAAAATATTCGAGAAGACCAACCAATCCAGAGCAAAGAAAAGGCCGGACTATTGTGGATTAGTATCCTAAAGAAGTGCAGCCAGACCGGCCATGGCAGGTTTCATGAATGAAACGCCATGTGGTCTTCGGCCCGCTGATAGCGATATCGATGAGGAACTTCTCCTGGTGAGGTTTCACGAACACCTTATGCAATGCTTTTTGCACTTATCCGATATCTTATCGTCAGAGATTGAAGTTCTAGCCGTTGCTGGCTAGCTATGTAGTGATTTATGAAGATGACAAAGTTTGTCGCGCAGGGATCACAAGAGTTGCGAAAACGTGCAGTGATGGAGATACGATAGCCATGATATGGCACGTGAGCAGTATCTCTAATGCGTACTAATATTGTCTTCTTTAAGGGTCAAGTTCCAAGATCTTAAGAAAAAGCTTAAGGTCCATTATATGAGTATCCCGAAACTTACATCATCTTGTTGAAATAAGGTTTTTAGATTGATATTTCTGGTTAAACTCCCCGGCCCTCGAGCTCCCTACAGCCG